AGAGAGAGAGAGAGAGAGAGAGAGAGAGAGAGAGAGAGAGAGAGAGAGAGAGAGAGAGAGAGAGAGAGAGAGAGATTCAGGATTCCTTTGGAGGTCACACTGAGGTATGTTTTAAATTATCCAGAATCTGTTTGCCCTTTGTGGCTCTGGAGCTGAAGTGCCACTTAAGCATTGCTGGGTTGAAGATAACATTCCTGTTGGGACATGTTTCTTTTAACAATACTCCTAAAACAATTGAATGCAGTTGCCCTTGGGATGAGAGAAGGCCTTAGAATAGAATAGAATAACAGAGTTGGAAGGGACCTTGGAGGTCATCTAGTCCAACCCCCTGCTTAGGCAGGAAACCCTAGACCATTTCAGACAAATGGTTATCCAACATCTTCTTAAAAACTTCCAGTCTTGGAGCATTCACAACTTCTGCAGGCGAGTTGTTCCACAGATTAATTGTCCTAACTGTCAGGAAATTCCTCCTTCGTTCTAAGTTGCTTCTCTCCTTGATTAGTTTCCACCCATTGCTTCTTGTCCTCCCTTCAGGTGCTTTGGAGAATAGCTTGACTCCCTCTTCTTTGCGGCAACCCCTGGAAGATTGCCTTGAATCCTAAATATAATTTTCCAATCCGGATTAGGAGATGGTTCAATTGAGGAACTTTTCTTTCCCATCTGGGTTTCGTGGTTGGTTTGATGGGGGGGGGGTACTTGGAGTTTCAATAGGAGAGAATATTTGTAGTACAGGGTTCAACTGTGGGGTCCTTGGTGCTTACTGAGCTCGGTGGTTTTCTTGCAGACATTTCATGGCCCAGCTAGGTAGCATCATCAGTGTTAGAATGAGGTGGGTTTGTGGAGGAAGAGGACATGTTTGGTGCTTTCTGAGCTCGGTGGTTTTCTTGCAGATGTTTCATGACCCAACTAGGTAACATCATCAGTGTCTTGTTTCCTTTTTGGCATTTTTATTATTTTTGAATGGCATGCAGATTTTGTTTATCTCTATGTGCCCATCGATGGCTGATTTGTCTGAGTGCCAAAAATGGACTGTTCTGTTGGGTCACAGTATTTTAAATCACGTTTCTTTCCCTTTGCTACGTGACCCAAAGGGCAAACCTAGAGCCAGTTTAGACTAGTGGTTAAGGCACCAAACTAGAAAGTGGGCGATCGTGAGTTCAAATCCTCCCTTAGCCACGAAAGCCAACCGACAACCCTCAACCCAACCCACCTCGCAGGATGGTTGTGAGAAAAAAAAGAGGAGCAAGGCATGTTGGATATGTCCCCTAATTTGAGTTATTTGTAAAAAATAATAATGCTGAGATACAAACAAACAAATAAGCTTACCGTATTTTTCGGAGTATAAGATGCACCTTTCCCCCCCTAAAAGACAGTGAAAATTTGGGTGTGTCTTATACACTGAATGTAGCCCCACCCACCAGCCCCAACCCTTTGGCTTCTGCCTCCCAACAATTTACCTCTTTGCAGCAAATGGGGGGTCTTCAATAGGCTATAGCAATCCCTGCAACCTGAAACAGCTGATGACGGGGAGAAATTGAAAGTGAAACTCCAGGAGGCAAATTGCTGGGAGGCAGAGGCAGAATTTTTTTTCTTGTGCTAATCAGGCTGTTTGCTGCAAGGAGGTAAGTCAACAACTATAAATGCCTATAGAATGTTCAAATCATTAGACTTATTTTTNGGCACAGAGTCTCTGAGATTCACGGACAGATCTTCACACTCCTGAAATGAATGAACAAATTGTTTGCTGCAAAAGCTCACTCCCCTTTCGGTCCTCTTTTATTTCTTATGGGAGGGGTCATTTACCATCCACCTGTGGCTTTACTCCTGAGTTGACTCTGATTTCTGAGCTGTTATTTTCTCCTGGCAGCTTTGCGCATGCGCACACTGGGAACAGGCTCCAGCTGTTCCTCTGCCTCACTAATGTCTAGTTCTGAAGGCAGCTGAGAACTGTCAGACGTCCCTGGCCCCCGCTCTGCCTCCGACACAGAGCCCTCATCAGAGCCTTCCCAAGCCTCCAGGACTGGCCCATGTTCCTCCCCAACCTCCTCACTGTCCAACTCTTCTGACAGTTCTGCTGGCCGCTGGCGGGCCACAACCCCCTGCCAGTGATTCCTGTAACAGGGCGTGCTGCAGAAACTTATATTCATATTCATTCTTTTTCTCCCTCACTTGGTAGCATGCTTAATGCCAATCTGTCTTGGTGTTGGAGATGGAGTATTTTAGGAAAGTGGTTTAGTAATACAGATGGAGTCATACTTTAGTTTTTCGCCTACTCTTGTTTCCCCCTCCCTTTCAAAGCTATCAGCCCATTCATTAGAACAGTCTGATAGACGCTGGCACATCCCTCTTGCACCAACCTGTTGTTGAGCAGGAATTTTTTTGTGTGTGTTCCACGGCTGAATGTTGTGTTGTTGTACACTTTGTATGATTTCTGCCTTAACGGGTTGGGTGAGCTCAATTCAACTGGGCTTAATGCAGCAAACAAGTCAGTAGCGCAGGGCTGCGTAACATTTTCATAGCCGATGGGCACATTTAACATTTGGGGGGATGGCTCACGAGACCTTGCAAATAAGGCAGCAATGCAAAATGTGTCACGCAACTAGCTGGGTTCACAGACCGTGATGAACTGGGGTACTGAGCCCTTTTTCAAGAGGCAACTGGACTTCCTTGTGTTTCTTTGAAGACGTTTTGCTTCTCATCCAAGAAGCTGAAGAAGCTTCTTGGGTGGGAAACGAAATGTCTTCAGGGAAAAACCAAAATGTCCAGTTGCCTCTTGAAAAAGTAGCTTTGGGACATTGACCTATCAACTAATTAAATAAGCTAGGTTCCCATAACATGGGACATATAAACAAAAAAATGAGGTTAACACCAACAGAACAGAGCTGGAAGGGACCTTGGAGGTCTTCTAGTCCAGCCCCCTGCTCAAGTAGGAAAACCTATACCATCTCAGACAAGTGACTGTCCAGTCTCTTCTTAAAACCTCCAGTGATGGAGCATGCACAATTTCTGGAGGGAAGCTGTTCCACCGGTTAATTCTCCACACCGTTAGGAAGTTTCTCCTTAATTCCAGGTTGCTTCTCTCTTTGATTAGTTTCCAACAATTGTTTCTTGTCTTGCCTTCTGGGGCTTTGGAGAATAATTTGACCCCCCCTCTTCTTTGTGGCAGCCCCTCAAATACTGGAAGACTGTTGTTATGTCACCCCTAATTTTTCTTTCCTTTAGAGTACTAGCCAAACCCAAATCCTGCTGCTGTTTCTTTACATATTTTAGTCTCCAGGCCTTTGATCAATCTAGTTGCTCTTCTGTGAACTTTTTCCAAAGTCTCAATATCTTTTTTGTACTATGGTGACCAAAATTGGTTGCAGTATAAACATAGCATCCTGGGAAGTCATTGGGCCACATGGAAAACCATGGAGCAAGCCAGATGTTGGAGGCATCTGTGCAGACCTGGGTCTTTGCAAGCCTAGATGTTTTCACTCAATATTGCTAAATTTCTATGCCACCTATCACACTGCCCAAAGTGACTCTCCTATAACAGGCTAAATTACAGGGGTGGGATTCAAAAAATTTAGCAACTGGCTTTCTACCCAGTTGCTGGGTGGGCATGGCCATGATGGGCAGGGCCTACTCGGCCTCCTGCACCACAACAGGGCGGGATGTTTTCGCTTTCCCCAGGCTCTGGGGGCTTTCCTCGAGCCTCCAGGAGGCATAAATGGCCTCCCACAACCTCCGGAGGTCCTCCGGAGGCTGGAAACAGGCCCATTTCTGGACTTCCGGAAGGCCTATTTTTCACCCTCCCAGAGCCTCCGTGCGGCCCTGCACTTACCTGGCATCCAAAATGAGCTGTGTGGAGACTCCTGGGAGGGGAGGGCGGGCAGGGCATGGCCAGCCAGTCCTTGCAACTGCCAATTCGGCAAACCAGATGTAAAATCGCCCGAACAGGTGTGAACCGACTGAATCCCACCTCTGCAAAAGGGGTATAAATCTTGGTCAGACTTATCCTCTGCTCTTACCAGAGTACCCAGTCTGGTCGGAGACACCTATGAGAGGAGGGGTAGATGGGGCAGGGTCAGCCAATCCTCAGCAAACCAGGTGTAAAATTAGCATCCGGTTCATTCAAACTGGTCCGAACTGGCTGAATCTCACCCCTGCCTAAATATAAACAAAAAACATGAAGTTAACACTACCAAGCTTAGCATGCTGGGAGGTCACTAGATCACATTGAAAACAATATAGTAAGCGAGATTTTGGAGGCATCTGTGGTAATCTGGGTCTTTGCGAGCATGGATCTTTTCAACTCACTATCGTCCAGGTATTAATTCAGGGCAGTTGTTATCTGAGAAAGGAAATTAGTGATGCATGTCATGTAATCTGAATCCTTGGAAATAGGAGAAGAAAGCAGGGATGCCTTCCTCCTGAAGCTTTATAGTCCATGTGCTTTACAGGCAAGAATGGAAAGTGTTGTGCAGACTCTTTGAAACACCTGCTCTCCTCTGATTGTCTCTCCCCTGGGGCAGCAGCGGGTGGATTTCATGCTGGTGTGACCTGTTTTGTTCCGTCTTTCCATTCGAGTCCTGGAGTCTACCAATCGGCGTCCCTCCCCAAATGAGGCCTTGAGGGCAGAGTCAAATGTCAAACTATTATTTTATCAATTATAAAACACCCTCTGGGAATACGTGCAGAAGTGCATGTGGGTGACCTGGAGATTAGGGATGCCAGCAACTGTTTTGCAAGGCAAAGCTCGGGACCTGGGCAGGCTGTTTTGGAAAAGAGGTGGCGCTTGCTGGACGCGCTGCAAGATCGGTGTGTTTGTGTGTGCACAAATATCAAAGAAGGCCGAGCTTCTACTCCAGTTATCTACAATGTCTTAAGCAGACTGGATCGTATTTGCCTCACAGCAGGGTTTCCCAACCTTGGCAACTTTGAAAGCACCATCCTGTAAGGCATGGGTGTCCAAACTTGGGAACTTGGCTGGCTGAGTTGAAGTCCACAAGTCTTAAAGTTCCCAGGTTTGGACACCCCTGCTGTAAGGTAAAGGCTTCCCAACCCTGGCAACTTTAAGATGGGTGGACCTCAACTCCCAGAATTCCCCAGCAAGCAAATTTTGGGGAAAATATGACACTAATTGCCTCCTTCTGGCTGATGATCTTAACTGGAGCTTATTTTAGGGGGTGGGGGAGGGCTTATATTACGAGCATCCTGAAAAATCATGCTAGGGCTTATTTTATTATATATTCTGTCGTGATGGTCTCTTGTGATGAGCCGATAGACAGAGAAAGGAAGCAGTATGCTTCCTNGCTTTAGCTGTTACCTTCATCTGGCCACTCTGCGCATGCGCACACTGGGAACAGGCTCCAGCTGTTCTTCTGCCTCACTGATATCTGACTCTAAAGGCAGCTGATAACTGTTGGATGGCTTTGGCCCGCTCTCTGCCTCCGACACAGAGCCCTCATCAGAGCCTTCCCCAGACTCCAGGACTGGCCCAGGTTCCTCCCCAACCTCCTCACTGTCTGAATCTGCTGCCAGCTTCCCTGGCTGCTGGCGGGTCACAACAAAAGCTGCAACTTCCCCAAAGAATTAAACATTATATTTTTAGAAACTGGCACCCAGAGGATGGGATTAGGAGTGATTAACCAAATAGGCATTTTAAGAGCTGAGGCATTGTTATTATGCCGCAAGAAATTGACAGTGCCTTGGGGATTTACTGTAAAATTTGATGCATTTTCACCCCTGTAATTTTCCTTCTATAACCCTGCATCCACCCGCTTTGGCTTTGTACTTAGTTATGACAGCAAAAACAGATTTCTGTTTATCCTATCTGTCTAGTAAATGGCCCGTTTCCTGGATGGTGCCCTGTAGTTTAATAACAAGCAAGCTGGGTTTTTTTTTATTTTAATTGACGGTTTTTCAGCAAAGCCACATTTGGAGTGTTAAGAGAGGAAGTTTTCTTTGCATTGCAACCACTGGCAAAGTAAAAAAAGCCTAACTCTTTTTTTCCTTTAAAAAAAAAAAGAAGAGGAGGAAAGAAAGATAAAGAAAAATAGAGATACGGTACCTTTGGAATAGGGAACTGGCATTCACCTGAGCAATAATAAGCATCAAAAGCTTTAGGAGAAATGATCCATTCGCTCCAGCCTATATCTGCAAAATCTACTTTGAGATAGCGTCTCGAGCAAGACCTGGGTTCATTCCACTGCTTCCGCCTCGCCTTTTTCAGGGTCTGCTCGTCAAACTGGAGCGTCTGGCTCTTCTGGTGGCTGTGTTTCCTGGGCTTCTTCTTACCCTTCGACCTTTCGGCCAGCCGCGGCTGCAGGGTTTTGTAGTGCTTCCTCTCCTCCCATCCTTCGTCCTCGCTGTACTGATACTCGGCTCCCGGCAGCTCGTTGTTCTGCAAGGGCAGAAGGAAACTGGTGGAGCGCTTGGGCCGCTGCCCACCGAGGTCGTTGATCGACCGGCTATCCAATTTGGGGAAAGCCCCAGGCGGTGGACTCCAATGGCCTTGCAGGCTAGAAACCACGCTCTCCGGCTCCGCAATGGCGGAGTCGTTGGCGTAGACCAGGATGTACGGCTCGTAGCTGAGATGCAGGCTCTTCCATGGGGGTTGGCCAAGGGAGGCCATCTGGACCCCGATCATGAGGCGGTTGTGCTCCTTCGCCCGCCTCAAGTCCTGAGTGACGTTCTTGAATTGCCACAAATGGTCGCCCTGCAAAGCGGCGGAGATGTTGACCAAGTAACGCCCCAGGGCCCGCGATTGGTTTGCTGAGGACGGGGAACTCAACAGCAAAAGCTTGATCTGTAGGTCCGATTTTCTGGGGGCCGGAGGAGGACAGCTGTTGGGTTGAGGGCAGTTAACGCTGCCGTTCTGGAGGTCTCCAACGTAGTAATGCAACAGGGCCGACAAGATATTTTCAGACTTCGTGAGGGAGGTGAGATTAAAGAGGTACACCTCTTTGTTGCCAAGGATCCCTAGAAAAACAAAAAGCAAAAAAAATAAAATAAAATAAACATTAGGTGAGTCCCCAGAAGCCCTTCCTTCTCTTTCCTTTTTCTTTCATTGCGTTTAATAAATCGGCTCCCCAGATTTTGGGCCAGTTTCTGCCCTAATCCCTTGCTATGCACGAATGGAGAGAGTGGTAAACCAAACTAGCTTCTGGAAGAAAAACAATTTTTAAAAATGATTTGTGCTACGGTATAGTATGTATGTAGAGTATGTATAATCCAGTGGTGAGTTTCAAAAATTAGCAATAGCAATAGCAGTTAGCAATAGCAGTCAGACTTATATACCGCTGCATAGGGCTTTCAGCCCTCTCTAAGCGGTTTACAGAG